CCTTCTGTAGAACGATATTTCTGTTGCTTCAAGTCTCTTCTTCATCTTTGAGGAGATTGTCCAGCATTCACAATCATATAGATGGATTGATATTACATAATTGTTCAGTACTCTTTTCATTGTTTATGGTGCTTCAAGTTTCTTCTTCATCTTTGAGGGGATTATCCAGCATTCACCACCATATAGGAGGATAGATATCACGTAACAATTCGGCACATTGTTTTTTGATTCTAATAAAGTCTTTCTATCTCATAATGGCAAGTTCAAATCCCGACCTCGTCTGCTCCAATCGCTTTCGCACTAACACACTTGGGAAAGCGTCTTTTCTCTTCCATTCCTAGCTATGGAGTAAATAATAGGGTAGACTGCGCTCTCTAGACTTGAATGGCAGCCAGTCAAGGAAAATGACAACTCTGTTCAAAACCTTTGCGAAGACGTTGAAAAACTAGTCCAATATTTTTTTCCAAGAAGTTGATGCATTTCACATAAAGAAAAGGGCGTCCAGGGTAAGACGATAAACTACATCCAGCAGCAAGGCCTCTGATCAGGAGGTTTTGAGGAGCTTGGAAACACCTCTTAATTTCTGGTGTTCCCAGGGCCACCCTGACCCGGGGTGGTAGCATCTGTTAGGGTCCAAGCTATGGGCAAATAGTTAACCCCGAAACTGAGTTAAATAGCATTTTTAATAATTTTTTAATTTAAATTTTAATAATTTTTAATAAATAATAGTGTAAAAATAGGTTTTAATACCAGAAATACTTTGTAAAAAATTATTACCAGAAATAAAATTTAAAAAAAAAAAACTATTACCAGTAATATGTTTTTGAAAAAAATATATTGCCAGCAATACATGTTTTAAAATAATATTACCAACTATACATTTTTGAGAAAAAAATATTACCAGAAATAGATTTTTGACAAAAGAAAATATTACCAGGAAAAAAGTTGTCAGCATTAAATAATCCATTGGTGTTGATATGCCGTAAAAGAAAACAAACCAAACCATAAAGAAAAGGAAGCTGTGGAGAACCATGATCCGGAATAGTTATGCTATTTAAGATAGAGTAATAACAGACGTACTAGTTTTAATTTGTTACGCCTTGTTCGGTGCGCGGTATATACTGTTCCTAAGTGGTCACCCAACAAAGTACTGAACACGCTCATCTCTGCTTAACTTTGGTATTTCCAATTTGGTTTGATGATAATTACCATGATAGTTATAGTCTTAAATTATCCAACTTTATTAAGAAAACATTGATATTGTTATTTATTTTCAACGAGTTTTCTTTCTTCATATTTTTGTTCTCTCACAACGCTCAGGTCGATTTTATATTCTACGACCATTATATCAGCAGCAATGATCGGAAATAAAGAATAATGAGAATTCAATGTGCGATGTATTTGAATATCTCAGTTTTAGCGGAAATCTTTGCAACAACCTCCCAGAAATTTAGCGGAATGGTGTCGTAGCATTGAACGAAGCTGTGGAAAAAACTTTGATGACTGAATAAGGATGCTATGAATTTATGTGAATAAAGATTCTGTTAAGAAATGCTGAAAACATTTGCGTCAAGTTTATATGACAGAAAATGAAATTCAACTGCCATATAATGTGTTCAACGTTAGCGAAAGCCTGAGAAAATAATTTGATGACTGAATAAGTATGCTATGAATTTATATGAATAAAATATTTTATCAAAAAATGCTTGATACTTAATCAAGTTAATATATTTTCGTCTACGAGAATACAAGTGCTGGAGAGCTTCAGACAATTCAGAATTCAAAATGGTTTTCTTAATTTCCACACCTATAGTTGTAATATAATTCATTGAAATTCCACTGTAAATATGCGACAGACTGAAAGTTGAAGAAGAATAAAATCAGTTTCAACAAGTACTAATCGGTTTTGCTTCTAACGTTTCGTGATGCAAGTACGTGCCAGTTGTCGTTGAGGAGGCCTGCCTCGGGTATGAGACTCTATCCTATTTCCCACGGGCGCCACACTATATATATATATATATATATATATATATATATATATATATATATATATATATATAAAACTTGATTTGGAGAGCTTATTTTCCAAAAGTAAACACATTCGTCTAATTTAGAAATACAACGCTATAATCTTCTTCTTGTCGTCTGACTTCTGGCTACATCACGTTGAAACACCGGTTCCCGTACGATCACCGTTAAGCAAACGTAGAGACTGGTCAGTACCTAGACGGGTAACCGCTTTGAATTACAGGTGCTGTAAGCCTGGATGTGCGGGTGGTGTAATGCATAAAGGCTCAAAATAGCTAAGCGGAGTTTTAATTCCTTTTGGTTCATTATATTCACTTACTTACACCTATGAGATTATATATATATATATATATATATATATATATATAAAACTTGATTTGGAGAGCTTATTTTCAAAGTAAACACATTCGTCTAATTTAGAAATACAACGCTATATAATCTTCTTCTTGTCGTCTGACTTCTGGCTACATCACGTTGAAACACCGGTTCCCGTACGATCACCGTTAAGCAACGTAGAGACTGGTCAGTACCTAGACGGGTAACCGCTTCTGAATTACAGGTGCTGTAAGCCTGGATGTGCGGGTGGTGTAATGCATAAAGGCTCAAAATAGCTAAGCGGAGTTTTAATTCCTTTTGGTTCATTATATTCACTTACTTACACCTATGAGATTATTTAAGAAGTATGACTCATGTTTTTAGGTTAATGTGTAGCGGACGGTGTGGGTTTACGTGTTGTTAAATGAGAAACACGTGTGTAACTCCTGGTAGAATATTAAAAGGTCCACTATAAGAATATGGCGGACTCAAGTTGAGTCCAACTGAAGATGTAAAAGAAAACCAACAAGACCGATTATATATATATATATATATATATATATATATATATATATATATATATATATCAACAAATATATGTATTAAACAGCAAATTTACAAGTGACAAAGACATCAACATTTGTGTTTGTGTGTGAACGTAAAGAGTTAGTATTTTGGTGAATGTTCGTACGTACGTATATGTGTGTATAATGTTCATTACCTCTCCCACAAATGGGAAGACGCAATCTTCTGCGAGAGCTTACATTGTAGATGTTTTCGCTGAAAATGAAGAAAAAAAAAGAACGAGGCAAGAAATCGCCCGGTATTTATAGTGTAGGGAGAGCGTGCTCTAGTGAACAATGAGGAAATTAAGGAGGAGTTAACTCCGACAAATGTTTTGCAACTTGTTGTGTTGATTGAAACTACCCCCAGTGTAGGCTCTATTTCTGTGAAATATAATGAGGAAAGACGAACTCCCATTAGGCCTATTGAAGACAAACGCTGTTTCGTGAGACCGACTCCCAAGAGGATGCTTCCCCGATCACTATAATCCTATGATCTTCAAATATAGGGTTAACGTTCAACAAACGTCCCCTTAAACCAGGCATGTCCAAAGTCCGGCCTGGGTGCTAATTACCATTTGGGCTCCCACCCTCTGTCAATTACGGTCCACCACTATTGTCAATCGGAGTATGTATGGTTCAATTTCATGTTTTACCAAAAGATAGCAACAGCATTGTGAAGCCGCCCTCTGACGGTGTGACCATGACCTTGGCCTTTTCCAGCCAACTTCTAAAATCACTGCCTTTGAGCCAGACCTGGCTTACATACTGCAGTTCAGATCTCAGTATCACTCTTCACATTAGTGCAGGCTAGTTATATCCTCTGGTCATCTGAGATGATTAAATTCTAAAATCTTAATGAATTAAATTTATTTTGTGTTGGTCAAAATAAGTTATAAATATATTTGGACACTTGAACTTGTTTCACTTTGTTTTCTACTTCTTAAAAAGATGAATGTTTGTACTATGTTCTTATTCATATGTTTTTAATCACGATCCAATTCATCAGACCTATAAATTCAAAAGCTTTTTGAATTTGTAGGTCTGATGAATTGGATCGTGATTACGATTCCAATCTCATTAATTATAACCATGGAATATTAGTGTTTGAGCCTTTTAAATTATATATATATATATATATATATATATATATATATAGAGAGAGAGAGAGAGAGAGAGAAGAAGGATCCAAGTGTTTGAGAACAAATACATGAGAAAACTCCTTGGCATCTTCTATTGGGAACATAAAACGAAAGAAAGTTTTGTGGGGCACCAGAAACCTCTTCTCGACACTGTCAAACGGAGAAAAATGGCTTGGTTTTAATGCAAGCATTACAAGGCATGACAGTCTATTCAAAACCATCATGCAAGGCACCATTAAAGGTGAACGTAGGAGAGGGCACCAACGTATAAAAAAATGGTTGAACAATGTCAAACAATGGAGAAGTATGACTATACCAGATTTTCTGATGGCTGCCGTTGATAGACCGTTGTCATGGAGATTTAGTGCGGCTTCTGTATTCGGATCTCCTCTTACGATTACAAATGTCAAGTGGATGATGATGATGATGATATATATATATATATATAGTTGCTGGTTCCAACAGAGTTCAGCATAATCCCAGATTGCTTCGGTACTATCCAAGATGCCACACATAAAGCAATATAGACAAAACAAGTAAATCAAATAGTTGGGAGTTATAATTACAGTTCAGTCGTTGTCGATTTCCATATGCACTTCAGATGCGAGAAATTTTCGAAGGCTATTACTAGTCGGTGCTTAAAACCTTTGAAGGAACAACTGATACCCTATTGTTCTGAAGAAGGAGAGTGCAAAACCGAAACTTCGTGAATATGACAATAAAGATGAGGACAAGAGTCCGAACAATATAAATAATGTCAATCGTTGCAATACCTCATCTCAATAATATAGACAGATCCTGAAGAAAGCCGAAACGTACAACGGCCGAAACTTTGTGATTATGACAATAAAGATGATGATTGCAGTCTGTAAATAGTGTCAATCTTTACAATACCTCATCCCAGAAATATAGAAATATATATATATATATGTATTTCTCTCTTTGTTTACAGATGTTGATGTGATTTCGTCTGCCGGAGATTCTGTTGTTCCCATAGATCTTACCACGCCTGAACAGACCTACCCCTGGATAAATGGCTCCGGGTTACTGCAGGAACCAGTAAGTATCGTGTCTTCTATTTTAAATGTATTATTTTATTTTTTTCGTAAAATTCTTCTTCGTTTGTTATTCTGATTATTACCCGATTAAATGAGAGTTTGATTTCTTGAAACATTCTTTGCTTAATAAGCGGCTGCAGCCGTGAACGACAATCCCGAGAGGCTGAGTGCGACAATCCCGAGAGGCTCAGTGGTTAGAACTTTCGCCTTCTGACCATGAGACCCGGGTTTGAGTTTCACCGTGGTCGATTTGTTAGGAAAGTGTCTTCCTGTTGTTACGCGATGCTAGCGTAAGGCACCTTTGGAAAGTAAGTGAAAACCATACCCGACGGATTGATCTTAGCCTGGCTGACCTTAGCCTTGTTGACCTTAGCCTGGTTGACCATAGCTTTGTTGACCATAGCTTGGTTGACCTTAGCCTGGTTGACCATAGCCTGGTTGACTATAGCCTGGTTGAACATAGCCTTGTTGACCTTAGCCTTATTGAACTTAGCCTGGTTGACCTTAGCCTGGTTGACCTTAGCCTGGTTGATCTTAGCCTGGCTGACCTTAGCCTTGTTGACCTTAGCCTGGTTGACCATAGCTTTGTTGACCATAGCTTAGTTGACCTTAACCTGGTTGAACTTAGCCATATTGAACTTAGCCTGGTTGACCTTAGCCTTGTTTACTTTAGCCTGGTTGACCTTAGCTTTGTTGACCGTAGCCTTGTTTACTTTAGCCTGGTTGACCTTAGCTTTGTTGACCGTAGCCTGGTTGACCTTAGCTTGGTTGACCATAGCCTGGTTGACCTTAGCCTGGTTGATCTTAGCCTGGCTGACCTAGGCATTGTTGACCTTAGCCTGGTTGACCATAGCTTTGTTGACCATAGCCTGGTTGACCATAGCCTGGTTGACCTTAGCCTGGTTGATCTTAGCCTGGCTGACCTTAGCCTTGTTGACCTTAGCCTGGTTGACCATAGCTTTGTTGAACATAGCCTGGTTGACCTTAGCTTGTTGACCTTAGCCTTATTGAACTTAGCCTGGCTGACCTTAGCCTTGTTTACTTTAGCCTGGTTGACCTTAGCTTTGTTGACCGTAGCCTGGTTGACCTTAACCTGGTTGACCATAGCGTGGTTGACCATAGCCTGGCTGACCTTAGCCTGGTTTACCATAGCTTTGTTGACCATAGCCTGGTTGACCATAGCCTGGTTGACCTTAGCCTTATTGAACTTAGCCTTGCTGACCGTAGCCTTGTTGATTTTAGCCTGGTTGACCTTAGCTTTGTTGACCATAGCCTGGTTGACCTTAGCCTGGCTGACCTTAGCCTTGTTGACTTTAGCCTTGTTGACCTTAGCCTTGTTGACCATAGTCTTGTTGACCTTAGCCTTGTGAGTGAAATTAGTCGGAACTACTTAGGAGCAGTCGATAGCTGTGCTAGCACGAAGTCACAAGTCATCGTGACCGAGTGTGTACTGACGTTGTTCAGACTGTTGATCATGCCAAATAATGCGCCCTCTCCCAGGAATTAGGGTCCGCTCAGCATGGTTACAATATAATAGGCTTTGTGGGTACTGAATAAACCTAAATTTACCTGATTTCACAGTCATCCTCAGATACGTGCGGTCACCTATATCTGCGGAAGAACGCATATTTTACAGGAAATTTCTCGAACATTCAGGCTGGTAATTATAATTAATAACTGTTTAATTAAAATACAGAGCATTTACTTATCTAAGTGTATCCATAATAAAACGTATAAAAGAAAATATATGATAATATTTGTCAGATTTAATCCACTTCATATATATATATATATATATATATATATATATATATATATATATATATATATATAAAAGGTAACAAATCCGTTGGTATATATAATCCAAGTGGATCCTAGTAATATAAAATATTAAAACTGATCCACAAAAAGAGATCAATGTATTTATTATTACAGAACAAATAATTAATAAACAATAAAATCCAAAATTTGCCTCATATGGGGAATAGCCTATTTCGGCAAAGGAAGATATCAGTCGTTTGTCTTATCAAACCCGGTGTGGATTAGATTCGTGTTTATACAGTCGGGGGGGGGGGGCGCAGACAGTAGAATTTTAACAGTGAAAGCTAAAAAGACAAACCTGTCGAAAAACTAACACAGAATTTATCTCTCTCCCTCACTATATATATATATATATGTGTGTGTGTGTACACACACACACACACACACACACATATATATATATGCGCCTATCATAATAAAAATATAATTTCCAATGCATTTATTCGGTTCATTTCCAATGTAATTTGTATAAGAAATATTATTTTCCTTTTATTTTTTTCCACTTATTCGTGTTGTTTAATATTTTTTCTTCCAATCCAAAATATGTTCCCGTTTTAAATAACCCATAAAGGGTCGATAATCCATAAAAAAAGAAATCATTCAATCATTTACAAAACATTCCAATGCAAAAATCATTTCCAATGTTTTCTATAATAAAGTAATTTCCAACGAATTCTCATAATAGAATCATTTTCAATTCTTTTCCATAGTAAAAATCACTTTAACCTATTTATATAGTAAAAATCATTTTAATACATTTCGATAGATGTTGCAGCATACCTACGGACGATAATGGGTATGCCGCCGTTCACATAAATACAGTAGTAAATACTGTATGTTGGTCTGTGGTCTGCATTTGGAGATTCATTGTTGAATTGACTTGACTCACTTCTTGCAGTTGACTGCTTATTTATATCTGTCGGGATCATAAACCCGAATTTATATCATTCTGTCGACATGGAGAAAGTATAGATAAAAAAGAAACAAATCTTTCATTTACTTTCTACCCAATCTGAAAGATTCTATTTCTACACTCAGACATATAAATAAAGAACATAAAAGGTTAAATGACTTTTTTCAAAGTCATTCATTTTCGTTCTCTTTTTTAGTTACGAGCAACGTCAGCTTGGAAAAAAAAAAAAAGATTTCATTATTTTAAACATACACAAATACATACACACGCAATTCAGTTTTTCGCCTTCGATCTGGTGAAGCCTAATCGGCGAAATGCATAGGCGAAAGTATTTTCGAAACATACATGAACATTTTCCTAATTGTCAATAATTTATAACTCTATCCGGATCATATACCCAAACTTGTATATTTCAATATAAAAAAAAGTCCACTATTTACATTATTCGGACTATTGTCCTCATCTTTGTTGCGATATTTATTACAACGTTTCGGCCGTTCAGTATCTGTCAATATTTCTGAGATGAGGTATTACGCACACTATTTACATTATTCGGACTATTGTCCGAATCTCTGTCGCCATATTTATTACAAAGTTTCGGCCTTTCAGTATTTGTCTATATTTCTGAGATGAGGTATTATGTACACTATTTACATTATTCGGACTATTGTCCTCATCTTTGTCGCCATATTTATTACAACGTTTCGGCCCTTCAGTATCTGTGAGATGAGAGAGGACGATAGTCGGAACAATGTAAATATTGTATATAATACCTCATCTCAGAAATATAGACAGATGCTGAAGGGCCGAAACGTAGTAATAAATATGGCGACAAAGATGAGGACAATATTTCGAATAATGTAAATAGTGTATATAATGCCTCATCTCAGAAATATAAACAGATACAGAAGGGCCGAAACGTTGTAATAAGTATGGCGACAAAGATGAGGACAATAGTCCGAATAATGTAAATAGTGTACATAATAGCTCACTTCAGAAATATAGATAGATACTGAAAGGCCGAAACGTTGTGATAAATATGGCGACAAAGATGAGGACAATAGTCCGAATAATGTAAATAATGTACATAATACCTCATCTCAGAAATATAGTCAGATACTGAGAGGCCGAAACGTTGTAATAAATATGGCGACAAATATGAGGACAATAGTCCGAATAATGTAAATAGTGTACATAATACCTCATCTCAGAAATATAGACAGATACTAAAGAAAAAGTCATTTCTAATGTATTTTCTTAAGAAATTATTATTTTGAATATAATGTCTTTATATTTTCCTTTTATTTATTGGTCCTATTTTTTATTCGTCAGGCCGTGGATAATTCCCAATCTGAAGACAACAAACATGTGGATGTTGCTATTGCAGCCGTCATCACTGGAATTGGTCTCATTGTTTTGGCAGTCATCGCTGTCCGTTACTGTGTGAAGAAACGGAGCTTCAAAGATATGCGGGTTAGTAGTGGCTGTCTATCGCAGTCGTTATCAACGCTTGCAAACCAAGGAAGTCGCCTGTATGCGGCCACTAGCCGAAGGGCCACGCCCGGTCCTGCTGGGATAGCCATATATCGGCCAACCCCTACCATCAATTCAGAGTGGGCATAAAATATTTTCAAAGCGCTTATCACTTGCTTTTTGGAAGAGTTGTAAAACTTTTTTTTTTATTTGCATCGTAAGATTTTTTTTTTAAAAAAATAACAAAACCTTTCATTCCCATTGCAACTAGGATTTTTTTAATGCCGTATATCCGGACAATAAAAGTAGCTAATCGTGAGATCTGAACCCGTTGCAAATGTTAGATTTTGAAAACCGCTGGCGACATGAATTCGATCGCAAACATGATTATACTGCCTGGCGTCGTAAAGCGGAATCCCTTTTTGTGTAGACTTTCAATCCTTATTTTAATTAACAGGAGTAGATAGGTTTGCCTATCGTCCGGTTTACACTCCTCCCTGGTCTTTTGAATAAGAGTAGAGGTTTAACACTTCTTTCCTGTTTAGGATTGGGTTTCCGCTTCCTTCTAAAGTCTACTTCACTCTATACTTCTGACAACTCCGCCTAACCTCTGAAATTCTATTTAATATTTTTCCTTAACAGAAGTAGGTAGATTTGCCTATCGTCCAGTTCACACTCCTCCCCATCTTTTGAACAGGAGTAGACGTTTACCCTTTGCCCCCTGATTAGGATTGGGTTTCCGGTTCCTTCTAAAGTCTACTTCAACTCTATACTTCTTACGTCTCCGCCTAAACTCTGAAATGTTATTTATTTTCTTCCTTCATTAGAAGTAGATAGGTTTTTTGAACAGGAGTAGAGGTTTATCCCTTGTTTCCTGTTTAGGATTGGGTTTCCGGTTCCTTCTAACGTCTACTTCAACTCTATACTTTCAACGTCTCCACCTTAACTCTGAAATGTTGTTCATTAAATAAATTTTGACTACTTCAAGTGTAGAGTTATCCATTATCTTTAGGGCATAGCCATAAGAAATTCACTTTTTGCCCTTTCTTTCCTTCAAATAATACCACACAGTAACCCTCTACCTTGAGTTGTTCTTGGGTCTTGTATTGGGTGATTATTAGTAAATAAAGAAAAGAATTACTGTATATAAATTAGCGTATGTACTGTTAGCCCATACGCTAGTTTTATATCTCGTGTATGATACGACCCTCTTAAAATTAGCTTCACATTTAGGTTTTCAAAAGTCGCATGATACGCGAGTATTTACGGTATTTGTGTTTGTGTCTAATTTGAATTTCCAAGAATATATGTATAAGGAACTTTCCTTTCATGCCTTTTACTAGATGCGGAATGGAGAAACAGTCGATGATAAAAACTGCAACTAGTCCACTATTTACATTGTTTGGACTATCATCCTCATATTTGTTGCCATATTTATCACAACGTTTCGGCCATTGTACGCTCCGGACTTCTTCAGGTGGTTGGAATGTCGAACTGAACCCTTTATTTCGCTCGCTAGTGTAGACTGTTCTAGTTCCACGTGCCATGTTTAATGGATGTCAGTTATCAGTTATCTCCTGTTAATCCCCCTTTCAAAGTTATCCACCGCCTTAACCAGGTATTGAACTCACACTCTTTGGGTCCTGTCTACTGGATCTAACTAACACCTTTATCCACTGTGCCATGTGTCCTTGATAAAGGCGTTACTTAGATCTAGTGACAGCACCCAAAGAGTGTGAGTTCAATACCCGGTTAAGGCAGTGGAGAACTTAGGGAGGGGAATTAACAAGAGTTGACGCATAACTGACATCCTGTTATACCTGAACGTACCTATTCTATTATTAATAGACTCTCCCACACATAATAAGTAATAGTAGTAGTAGCGGTCGCCAGTTGAGCTCAGTGGAGTTGAGTGAGTCAGTCGATGTCGGACATTGAAGTATCAGCCACCACAACTAGATTGCTGCATCATTAACTATTATTATTTCAAGTTCCTAACGTTTTGTACGTCGAACCCTTTTAGGGCCGATTTAGTGAAATACAAGCCCTCACTGTGAAAACTACTCTACAACACATCCATTAGACATGTCACGTGGAAATAGAACAGTCTATACCAGCGAGCGAAATAAAGGGTTCAGTTGGACATTTCAACCACCTGAAGAAGGCCGGAGCGTACAACGGCCGAAACGCTGTGATAAATATGGTAACAAATATGAGGATGATATGTAAATAGTGTACATAATACATCATGTCAGAAATATAGACAGATACGGAAACTATAGATTTTTCTAATCTCCGAATCCATTTTCGAATTTTAACCTGAATTATAAGAACGATATAATTTGATAACTTTGCAGTAGTCTTTAGAATTGTTAAATCGTTTGCCGAAAACAGAATCAAGTCTCCCGGGCGGCTATTTTATTGTCATTTTTTATTTAATATTCTCTGGATATACGGCGTTAAAACTATTCTGCTATTTTTTTTTCTTTGTTTCTTAATTTTGTACAGGGGCAGATACAAAGCGAAGGGCAGTATATGTTGGGTGAGGACTGTTAATACCGATCTTTAGCTATAAATCGTACCATATTCCTTCAGAGTTCCCAAAATGCGCGAGTTTTGAAAACCAAGAGAAACCAAATTTTGAATTCCCGCACTTGTGACATTCGGGGACACATGCAAAATAAATAATACAAATAGATAGGTTTGCATATCGCGAAGTTCCCGCACCTTCCCCATCTTTTGCATACCACCAGGTTTCCGCTTCCTTCTAAAGTCTACTTCAACTCTATACTTCTGACAACTCCGCCTAACCCCTGAAATTCTATTTAATATTTTTTCCTTAACAGAAGTAGGTAGATTTGCCTATCGTCCAGTTCACACTCCTCCCCGTCTTTTGAACAGGAGTAGAAGTTTATCCCTTGTTTTCTGTTTAGGATTGGGTTTCCGATTCCTTCTTAATTCTCTTTCATTCTCAATGATCCCCCTTGCGTCTTTGTGGTGTTATCGCCTTGCTTGGGGTGAAATGATTAAAAACACATCTAGGTTAATTTAAACTACTAATAAAAAGTCATTTCAAAATTTAGTCACACTGGGCTTGAAACCCAATTTTTATTTTCCTTGTGTCCCAATATGTCAGTTCTGGGTCATCAATAGTTGATTAACAATCAGCTAAATGGGGAATCATTTTTATATAAAGGCGATGTTTTAAATAGATCCCCTATTTTTTGTCATAGTAATTTCCATGTTTCTCTCTCCCCTTGGAAATATACTTTTTAATAATTTGCCAGATTAGTTGACGTTTGAAAGCCGCCACCAACTGAATTTTGAATTTTTCTCTTATTTCTTTCGTAGGGAATTTAAAATTAAATCTGAATTATCTTGGGTTACTCAAGTTTGCTACTTGAAACCCAGTTTGCTATCTTTGCTTGTAAAACATCAATATTTGATTTTTAAAAATGTATATATTAAGTCAGCTTTGTTTTTTATAACCTGCTATAAACTGATCTCCCATTTTTCCATATGAGATCTTTCATATTTCAGTACCCTTGAAAACGTATTTATGGGGTAGGGTTGCTAGATTGATCAGCTTTTGAAATCTTGGAGCTATTAAATTTTAAATTTCGATATTTGCAACTTTGGGAGCGATTTTACAATAAGCTGGCTTCAATTGAGCTCATGACCAAGAAGAAATCAATTCAATTTTTTGTCGTGTTGACTCTTTAAAAGCAGACCAGTTCATTATTTATAAATCAATCAGACAACCCAACGGTTTTGAAGAGATCTTTTTTCTTTTTTTTTTTTTTTTTCTTTTTTTTGATAAATTCGATGAATGGCGTGATAAGGATTTTTTTTTCTCAAAAAATGAATATGACAAAAATGAATTAAATGTTTAAATGTTTTTTTGTTTTTTTTTTAATCACAATGAACTTCTCTCCGGTCAAGACGACTGTGAAGTATCGCTTAACTAAAATTTTCAATCACCTCTTGTCGAAAATTTATTATTTCTTTTCTTCTGACTGAAACAAGATCCGCAACATCAGTTTATATACAAAAGGTTTAGAGCAACCCAAATATAATCTGAAGTTTTGGTGCCGTCACTATTATTATTATTATTATTATTATTATTATTATTATTATCAGCGTAGTGCCCGTAAAAATCACGATATTATTTATGTATTGCTCGGCACTTCTGCCTTTTGTCAGTGTAGTATCTGTGTTATCTGTCGCGGATCAAAATGCCATTCCCCAGCATTTTTACCACCAACACTCAAACTCACATACACCAACACATAAGCACACACACACAACAGATAGATAGATAGTGAAAAGACTGAGATAGATAGATAGATAGATAGATAGATGGATAAAAAAGACTGAGATAGATAGATAGATAGATAGATAGATAGATAGATAGATAGATAGATAGATAGATAGATAGATAGATAGATAGATAGATAGATAGATAGATAGATAGATAGATAGATAATGAAAAGACTGAGATAGATAGATAGATAGATAGATAGATAGATAGATAGATAGATAGATAGATAGATAGATAGATAATGAAAAGACTGAGATAGATAGATAGATAGATAGATAGATAGATAGATAGATAGATAGATAGATTCAGATGAAAGAAAGTTATTGCCATTTTACAGCTCCTTTACCCCTTTGAACTTTGATAGTGGGTGAAGCAGAAATTATTGGAGCGTGATACACTCCATGCCTAGATATGTAAGTAGCTATTATGATTTTAATATATTGATTCTTTTTTAAAGAATCGTCAAGCATTTTAATCCCAGTTCTTCTTCTATGTCACGTGTTCCTTCAGGATGTGGGTGATTAGGAATAATAACTAAAAAATCCTTAATTAAAACAAAATGGCAACACATAAAGACAGTAAATAGCATAAAAATAAACATAAAATAAATATAAATATAAATATATATATATAAATATATATATATATATTATATATATATATTATATATGATATATATATTTATATACATATAAATATATATAAATATAAATAATAAAATAAAAATAAACATAAAGACAGTAAATAACATAAAAATAAAGTTAAATAAACATAAATATAAACATATATAAATATATATATATATATATATATATATATATATATATATATATATATATATATATATATAATATTATAAATTAATCGATTTAAAATATGTTTTTTTTCGTTACACAGTTCTAACCATGTTTCAAAAATGGAAGCTAAAAGCCCCGAATTTAAATAATGTATCAGTTATTGCTACGTTTTGGTAGTGGGTAGGGATGTACATCCCTACCCACTACCAAAACGTAGCAATAACTGATACATTAAAATATAGACATATTGAACACCCAGACATCCCTGTCTAGAAAAATAGATTTCTCTGTAACCTTGGAAACATGAATTTTGTTTTAGCTGTGTATTTAAAACCAGTAATTTTAAAAGTTACTCTAAAATTCGCTTGAGGATGAAATGGAACTAATGTCTTTAATTTAATTACAAAATTAAATTGGGGCTTTTAGCTTCCATTTTGAAACATGGTTAGAACTGTGTAGCGAAAAAAACATTTTAAATCAATTAATTTATAATATTAATGCTCTGTAAATTTACATTGAGCACTATTTTGTAAAATAAAAATATCTATAAGAACACCGGATTATATATCTTACTGTTCTTTTCTTTATATATATATATATATATATATATATATATATATATATATATATATATATATATATATATATATAACATAAAATAAATAAAATAAAATAAAAATAAAATTAGCTATAAGCAACAACAACAACAACAAAAATTGTGGCACGTTTTCCGATTTCCCACTTTCGTTAATGTTTTGTCCTTCCTTCTCGCGTCTGTACTTTTCATTCTGTGTCTGCAATCAACACTGTTACTCTGTTGTCTCTGTGTTTTCCATAGAATAAAGTTTCATCTTGAGAAAGGTGTATATTTCTAAAGTCGGTGTGGTGAGGTTTCACACTGTTTTTAGTATTGTTTGCTTATTGTTTTAACCCCTCGTCAGGATTAAATTTGTCCATTGCAAACTCTGGGAACAGCAGAGAAAGTTATTATTTCTGGAATCGGAAGATCTTGAACGACAAAACCATTTTTTTAGCACACCAAATGAAAAGATAGCGCACACACACACACATATATATTATTTACTTTAGGATATTAAAACATGTTAAAAATCGCTACATAATGGCAATTATTTTTCAACACCATAAATGTGTCTCCTCAGGCGATGTTAAAATACTGGCGAGTGAAACATTAATTTAATTTATTTATTTAGCTGTACTATGTATTGAAACCTCTTTTAGATTAGATGTACAGTGGAATCGTACGCTATTTGTTTTCTTTTATATATATATATATATATATATATATATATATAAACGGAGCGTCTACTCATATATCCATCAATTTTATTAGAAATATCTCTTTGTTTCCGTTTGGATACGAACCTGTGCGGATATGAAAAATTTGTCAGAGAGATTTATCCCGAGAGAAGTTTCGCTTTGAGGTACAATTTCGGCCTTAGTAGTATTAGACATAATAGTTGTAAATCATTTTAATTTATTCGATGAAATGATTTTATTATTAACTTTGTACATCCGTTATTGACACTAAACGGATTGATTCAGGTTGATGTCAAACGTACCAGTATTATTTACATCACCTATTGTCATTATTTTGTGTGATATGTTAGTTTTTGGCATTAAAATACCGAATTCAGTGTGACATAAATTTTATTGCCATTAGAGTCTACTGTAGAATTATTACAGTAATCCCAAACAATAAACCGGTAGTGGTCTCCAGCTGACATTATCAATGTCACTTCAAACTATCCGCATAAGATAGGTATGGATCTGCCAATAGACATTGTTGAAAGAAATCAAAGTGTTAAATATGGTTGTGTGTCTTCTTCTTCTTCTTCTTCTTCTTCTTCTTCTTTGTTCCGTGTCCCTTCAGGACGTGGGCGATTAAAAATAATAAATAAAATACAAATAAATAAATCCTTTATTAAAATAAAATAACTAAAAGAGAGGACTATAATAGCATAAAATATCATCCCTAAAAAAAAAAAACATTGATTCTTCTTCTATGTGTCGTGTCTCTTCAGGATATGGGCGGTCATGGCTCTCCACAAGTCTCTATCTATTGTTTGACATTTTGTTGTCTCTCCTAATCCTTGTCCAGTCGACCATTTACCCGATAATGAAACTTAGTATCCATTTACACAAAATGATTCTTTTTCTTCTTCATTAGGCCGTCTCGCTTCAGGACGTGGGCAATCATGTCTCTCCACGATTTCCTGTCTTCTGTAGCTCTTAGCTCCTCAATTTTCTGTACCCTAGAAATTTCAACTATCCCTTATTATAAGTGTCGATTTTGTTTCCGTTTTATCTAAAGCTTCATCGTTGCTCACAAGTTCGGCCAGCTTTATACTCAGCATCCTTTTTTGTAAAACTACATTTCTGCTGCTTCTTTATATCTGGTGATATTGTCCAGGATTCATTGCCTGCTTTTCCCTCTCTGACCTCACTAACGTAGGGTACCCAGGGATTGTAAGATTAGAAAAAGAGTGTTTCGGTTGTCTCAGAACAAATCATTGCAACCATACCAACTTGCAATGGACGCCTTTAAAAAAATTCAATCTAATCAAACATTGAAATTTTCGTAGCTAGGCGCCGCACAATCTTTCAACTCTATTCACTATATTCGATGTTATATATCAATAAGCTAAATAAATTAGACTAGTCCAAGTTTCCTACCGTTCTACGCTTAAACTAATCTTACAGACTTTTAATGTTAGAGTCAGTCCGGGCATCATTAAATAATTTACTTCCATAACCTTGTGCCAGACATAGAAAAACATTTTGTCTTGTATACCAACTATAGAGCGAAGGTCAGTTTCTTCAAGTCGCGCCGTACTCTACTACTCCGTTTTCAGATGACACCTCATAAATGTAGCCTTTTGTCATACTTGTCTAATCTAAATAAATAGCTTTACTAAAAAAAAAAACAAAAAAAAAAACACGTACACAGTGCCTATAAAGCTAGTCTAACTGACAATTACTGTTGTCGTAAATTCCATTTTTTATTAGTGCCTTACATTTTTTTAACCTTTTGCCAGACTTATCTATATTTAGAACCAGTGGAACCAGTCTTGCCGACAATTTTTGATAGAGTAACTTTGCTCTCCAGTAAGTGCCTTACACGTCCGTCCCTATGCGATACTAACAGAATGTTTTTGTTTGCCCGTCGTAAATTTGTGCTCGATCAGTATTTCTACTGTTAGCGGGTCGGGCCCCTCATTAGATATAGAAGTATGACCTTTGACACCACTAAGCTTACTTCGATAAATTTTATTTACGTTATTTTTTTTATTGCAATGATTTGCTCTGAGACAACCGAAACACTCTTTTTCTAATCCTACAATCCCTGGTGCTCATCACAACGTGTTATCACAACGTTTCGGTCGATGAATTCTCCGGCCTTCCTCAGATGTAAATCGATCTACAGGGAATTCTGAACTGAATTCTTTATTTAATATACGGGGGTAGACCTCGTTTCACTACCCATGTGTAGGGATGTACACCTGAGGAGTGCTGCAGGGCACAAAGTTGTGATAATAACAACAAAGATGAGGACAATAGTCCGAATATAAATAGTGTTAATAATCGTAACTTCTCATCCCGGAAATTCAGACATTTTTGATTTTTTTTTAATCGGTATCACACCATGCAAAGCAGTAAAGAAAAATAAATAAAACGACTCGAATAATCCAACTGAAAAGTAACCCTTAGTAGTTTTGCCTGACAAAAAAAAACCAAAAAAACAACTGCCTTTCACTAAGTGTTTCACTTCGTGCCCTTGTTTCAAGGAAACCTAGACAGGAAAAGACATTTAGCTGATGTTTCGATTACCGGGCACGCGTCACTGTGGCAGCAGGAAAGCAGTAAGATGGCGGAAGTTTATCGCCTGCGTATTATTCGACAATTTAAGGAAAGGAAAGAGATAAGCAGTTTTCAGTTAAGATGTGGTTTCGGAGTGGGGCGGACAAGGGGAGCGGGGGTGGAATTTTATAAACACTTGTTAAACACCATGCAGCGTGCCCGGTAAACGGAAAACTAGCAACGAATCGCCCGCTGGTTATTCACTTTCACTTGTCAACCCCTATTTGCATCGAGTCAGACTGATGTGGCATATGACCATATCACGTTGAAACATCGGTTCCAGTAAGATCACCGAAGTTAAGCAACGTCATACCTGGTCATTGCCTAGATGAGTAACCGCTTGAGAATACCAGGTGCTATGTGCTTGGATGTGCGTGTGGTGTAATGAGCTTACGACCATATCACGTTGAAACATCAGTTCCAGTACGATCATTGAAGTTAAGCAACGCCAGCCCTGGTCAGTGCCTAGATGGGTAACCACTTGAGAATACCAGGTGCTATATGCTTCAATGTTCGTGTGGTGTAATAAGCTTACGACCATATCACGTTGAAACATTGGTTTCTGTACGATCATCGAAGTTAAGCAACGCCAGCCCTGGTCAGTGCCTAGATGGGTAACCACTTGAGAATACCAGGTGCTATATGCTTCAATGTGCGTGTGGTGTAATAAGCTTACGACCATATCACGTTGACACATCGGTACGATCACCGAAGTTAAGCAACGCCAAGCCTGGTCAGTACCTAGATGGGTAACTGCTTGAGAATATCAGGTGCTATATGCTTGGATGTGCGTGTAGTATAATGAACTTACAACGGAATCGCGTTGAAACACCATTTTGCCTACGATCACCGAAGTTAAGCAACGTCAAGCCTGGTCAGTTCCTATATGGGTCAGCGCATGAGAATAACAGATGCCACATGGCCTTGAGATACCAGTTCCCGTGCGACCAACGAAGTTAAGCAACGCTCCCCACTGTCCTGTACTTGTGCACCGTGTGTCACATGTCTGATGATACTACACTCACAGGATTTTGATTTTTATCTTCTAGCTTCACGCTGGCCATTAATAAAAAGTTCAGCTGCTTTCTGCCAACACACTCCAAGCTGTTTTGAATTCAGTTTTCCTTCACCTAGACTTGTTGCCAACCAAGGCTATAGGTTGACCCCATAGAAAAAGAATCAATGAAATCTAATCAATTAGACTAATGTCTTCACAATTGTTAATTTCATCAAAACGTTTCGGCCTTTTTCCTGTCGGGACTTCTTTAGGTTGTTGTCACTCCGAGTAACATTCAAGGAATTTTAGGTTGGTGTAAATTGTTCTCGTACCACTTGGATGTCTCAATAATTGCTGGCCTTGTGGCTCAGTCTGTATCACCCGGACCAGGGATTGAACACACAGATTACTCTCCCACAAAATTCACGAAGCAACACTTTAATTCTCAAGACTATTCGGACAGAAATGTCAATACTTGTGTTTACTTAACATCGAATTTTGTATGGACCGTCCGGTTAGGCTCAAACTCTCTACTAATTTATCAACGTGATTTACCTCACTAACCACACACCTTGTGTCTAAGGGCCCTTTTTTTATAATAATAATAAAAGAAGAAAGAGAGATGCCCAGCATCAACATAAATTCTGATAGGTGTAGATTTCTTGCATTTTTTTAGCAATTTCTGGAGGCGATAAGGTTTTAGGCTTGAAAAATCTGTGATATCCGAATTTTAGAAAGAGTCCGTGCGATTGGGGTCTGCAAAAAACGTGTCAGTCTGGTGGAGTGTAACTTAGAACTGAAAAAAAAATCCTTGGTAAAAATTATAGTGTTTCTCTTCCGAACTTTTAAATCAGTTGTTGCTATTTTAGTGTGGCCTTGACAATGGAAGTTTTTCACACCTACATTGAATTATAACGATTTTAGTATGAAAATGCCGATCACCTAGTTCTCGTCCAATTCAATTTAACGGAAATGTGTTTTTTAAAATATGTATGAGCCTTGGGAATCTGTATATCTGATTCACTTTAATATCAGGAAATTCAATTTGGTGAGCGCCTCGGTTAGTGAGGTTAGCCTGGTTGACCAATATTATTGAAAGGCGAGTACGATCCTCACTGGGTGGCACAAACAAAAAATGATATTAAATACTCCAACACAGGTTGATATGTCGTCAAGTTAACAGTTTGTTGTAATGTTGTCTTTGTTCAAAATGGCCGAGAATTAGGAAGGCCTTATTTAGAGAGAGTATCAACGGAACAGAAGACTAGGCAGAGGAAAACAATGAAGAAGAGGTTTATTAAATACTCAGAAATAGGAGTTCAAAATGACTGAGAATTAGGAAGTCCGGAATTAGAGAGAGTATCGAAGGAACAGAAGACTAACTAGAGGAAAACAAAGAAGAAGAGGTTTATTAAATACTCATATATAGGAGTTCAAAATAGCCGAGAATTAGGAAGGCCGTAATTAGAGAGACTATCGAAGGAACACAAGACTAGGCAGAGGAAAATAAAGAAGAGGTTTATTAAATACTCATACATAGGAGTTCAAAATAACACAATTTTTTCGTACATCTTTAAGGCATGGGCAACTAAAAATCTCTTCAATGAGTCTATCGGAATCTTTTCCAATCAACCCGACAACTAAAACTACAACTAAAATCATTGATGTCCTCATGTGACACAGTTTTCAGATTTCCACTTCAAAGTCCTTGTATTTTGATATTTTTTTAAACATTATTATTATTATTAATATTATTATTATTATTAAGGTTTCAGGGAAAATTGACTCAGATACAGCGGTCAAATTATAAAATATTTCCGTTCTATCGCGTAAAGAATAAAGATTAAATAAACTTCTGCAGTGGAAGGTGCTGGATAATGTAAAAATACCGATTTGTGGATTTAACCCAAAGGGGCATAGTAATCAACAGTGCATAATGATCGTCAGCTTCACATAGGGACCGATCTTTGGATTGAGAACATTTTCCTCGTTCATATAAAAGAATAACAACATATATATATATATATATATATATATATATATATATATATATATATATATATATATATATATATATATAATACCAAAATGTAATTTGTAGGGATTTATTCAATAGAGGACTTTTAGACGATATGAGAGCTCAGTTTATAATTCAGAGAAAATTTAATGATAATAATTAGGAAAATAATCAAAAATCCATGTTGGTAATAAATTTATTTCGAGGAATACAGCTATATTCACGAAATAAATTTTTCTTTATTATTATTATATATATATATATATATATATATATATATATATATATATATATATATATATATACTAGTAATAATCATATAAGTATAAGAAATTATGCTCGTCTGGAAAACCTTGGGTGTCTTGATTTGCAAATAATCAAACCAATGCCAAAGGTAAAAAGGGATAAAAAAACGAAAGAACAAAAAACATGGACGTCATCCGAAAATATCGTCTAGCATCCAAGTCCAAAGCCCAAAGAAAAAAAACCGATACGAGTAAGCAAAATAACTCAATACAGTAAGTAGAGCAGACCTAAATAAATAAATAGGTTTCTCTGTTTTATATATATATATATATATATATATATATATTTATATATATATATATATATATATATATATATATATATATATATATATATATATATATATACCCAAGTATATGATTGGTGTATATGAAACGAATTCCAATAACCAACAAATACTATTCTTAAAAGAGTGCTCAATACAAAGTAGAGAAGATATAATTATTTATTTTAAAAAAATTATATTATATGGCTATTTTTGTAGTGATTTTATCACATATTTATGTTATAATTTTTTTTTAAATAAATAATTATATATATATATATATATATATATATATATATTCCGCACCGGTACATGACATTTTAGGGTGCTGAATTGAGACTGTATCTTACATCGAGCACTATTTTATTAATACCAGGACTCAATGTGCGAGATATACATATACATACATACATGCATATATATCTATCTATCTATCTATCTATCTATCTATCATCCATCCATCTATCTATCTATTTCAGGCATCTATCCATCCATCTATCCATCCATCTATCTATCTATCTATCCATCTATCTTTCAGGCATCTATCTATCTATCTATCTATCTATCATTCATCTATTTCAGGCATCTATCTATCCATCTTTCTATCCATCCATCTATTTCAGGCATCTATCTATCTATCTATCTATCCATCTATTTCAGGCATCCATCTATCTATCTATCCTATCTATCTATTTCAGGCATCTATCTATCTATCTATATCCATCCATTCATCTATCCATCTAGGCATCTATCTATCTATCTATCTATCTATCTATCTATCATCCATCTATATCTATCTATTTAGGCATCTATCTATCTATTCATCTATCTATCTATTCTATCTATCTATCTATCTATTTCAGGCATCTATCTATCTATCTTGGTAGATTCTTATCTATATTATTACGTACAAATATATATATATATATATATATATATATATATATATATATATATATATACAAAGTATTACCCTTAAAGGTCATACAATTTCAGTAGATTCTGCAACTTTAAGTCACATGACAAAAAGGAGACATTTAAACATAAACCAGACCGTCGCCACGCAGTATTTATCCCTATGTCTACACTGCTTATATTTACATTTGCTTTGTCCTTGATATTGAACACTTTCTTTTCATGAATCTAACAAAACATAAAACAAATTTCTTACACGCCCAAATGCATACACAAACAGATATATATATATATATATATATATATATATATATATATATATATATATATCAGTCTATTCATATTGTGTTCATATTTATGTTGTATCATGTGTCTTATTCTTCTTAAATCGATGTTTGTTCATATATATCTTTCTATCTCAGTCTGTTCTTTATCTATGTATCTATCTATCTAATTCTGTTAATTATCTATCTATCTATCTATCTCAGTCTGTTCATTATCTATCCATATATATATATGAGTCTATTGTTTATCTATGTATCTATCTATATGAGTCTGTTTATCTATCAACCTATCTAGCTAGCTTGCTAGCTAGCTAGCTAATTCTGTTCAATATCTATCTGCCACAATCTATCTATCTATCTATCCCTATGTGTATGTATACAGGTAATTTTCATATATTCATGATTATACCAAAAATCTGGATCTGCTATAAATATTATTATATTTTCTACATGCCAATCTGCATTTAATTCAGTATTATCTGCGCATGCGCACGGCCATACAATTGAATATTTACATTTTTATCTCCCTTTTCGGTACATCGTTCATCGGTTCTAACTTAGATCAATGAAATCCCATAAAATAACTATTCTTAAAACTTTACTGGTTTTTAATCACTAATCTCAGAGAAAAAAAGAATACACCTGTGTTCACCTGTTTTATTTTTTTTATATATATATATTTTTTTTTTTTTGGTTTTTCTTTCTTTCTTTTTTTAGCGTTTTGCAATCATTTTCCATTTTGTTTCATTCTGTTTGAATTTGTAACGCCATTGTAATTGTCCTTTCATGTTTTGTTGTATTATTTGTCTTCTATGTCACCTCTGATCCGGGTTGAAAGTCACCTCTTGTTAGGTGGACCACGTTATGCCTGGATCATGTTATGTCTTGTTCATTGTATTTTGTACTGTTGCGTCAATAAAACCGTGAAAGAATCCATGACTGTGGAATGGGCGAGAAAATGCCTACTACACAGTCTATTGTGTAAATTTGTGTTTCGTCTCATTTGCTTAATTCCTTGTCATTTCTGTTTTGCATTTTCTTGAAGGTTGTACTTAAGAAATCCTCTCTTTTCAGACTTTTAAGCATTGTAACTGTTAAACGGTTCCTTTATTATTTATTATAAAATACAATACACATATAATGGACTCTCCCGTCGTTATTCGACGTGTGTTCAACAGCATGTTCCACTCTTGATGCTTTACTTGTGTTTCTACCTTCATTGACTTTTGGGGCCAGCCTGAGATCCGCAGAACGTTCTATATATTGGACATGGAACAGCACCCCTTGGGAAGACAACAAGAATGTTAGCGCGGCTTTAAGTAATTTGTAATGACTTTGTTGCACGTACTCTTCCAACTGATCAGAAAGGGAAGAATATAACAGAATGGGAAAAAACTTTTCGTGTTATGATTTCCGTCTTTTAGGACTTCCTAGGAGTAGAGTGATGTTTACGTTGATGCGACTACGCATGCGCATGAAGGAGAGGGTACGTTGAGAATTTTAAATTGAAATTTGTTTTTGTTTTTTTTAAATCGTTTGAGTATAAAGCCTAGCCAATTTATTTATCTTTATTTTGTTCATGTTTCCATTACTTTCGGTATTAAGTGTCGCACATTGTGATAATAGAAGATCTGCCAAGAAAGGTGAAATGCAAAAACCTGGACATAAATTTACTGTGGATGATTTAACGATTAACGCACTTTCTATACATTTTCTTCTTAGTATCTTGATTTCTCTTTTAATCAAAGTAGCATTTTTCACACGGTACGGTGAACAATTAATGCATTTAGCGTGTTTTTTGTAAAATATTCCTTTTGTGTTCATATAATCTTTTATTTCTTGAGGTTTCTCCAATGTATTCCTTGTGACAATCATTACAGTGATAGAGTAAATACCCCTAATAAGATCTTTTTTGCCACTTTGCGTTTGTTTTTCCCTAAAATTGTTCTTGGTATACAAAAATGCATATATTGTTTCCCCATACACACACACACACACACACACACACATATATATATATATATATATATATATATATATATATATATATATATATAAAAGCAAGAGGTTATAGTAGTTCCAACTAGAGAAAAGGTGTATTTTAAAAAGAAGAGAGAAACCGCAAACGTTTTTGGTTGTAATGTGGATTTTAAAAAAATTATTATGCTTTATTTTTCATAATGTTGATATATATATATATATATATATATATATATATATGAGAAATATAGTCTTAAGATATGCTATATTTATGGGATAAAGTGCTCAATATCAGAGATAGAGCGAAACTGCTTTTTCGAGAGCCTGTACTTTATAATGCTCCATAAGTTTTCAGTGGGGTTGAGGTCAGGAGATTGGGGCGGCCATGTCATAACACTCACCCGCTTCTCATCAAAGTATTCCTTCAACAATTTTGATTTGTGACAGGGAGCATTATCCTGCATAAAAAAGAGCTTGCTGGGGTCGATTTGCACCCTTTCAGCAGAAGGGAGCAGACATGACTCTAAAATTCTCTTGTACTGCTCGCTCTTGAGGGTCTTTTCAATAGGTTTTAAGAAACCAGTTCCATAAAAAGAAAAGCATCTCTAGAACATTATACTGAACGGATGCTTGACAGTACTTACTGCTAAATTCAAAGAACTTTCAAAGCTTCTTCTTCGGATTTTAGATCGCTTATCCTTTGAATTTAGCTCAACTTTTGTTTCATCCGTGAAGAGAAGATTTAGTAAAAAAAAAATCAGGTGAGTCACTTTTATCGAACAGCACTGTACAGTTATGATACATATACACACAAGAATTATACACACGAACGTTCCTTGGCGTGAGGTCTGCTTAACCAATGAAAATCAAACAGCAGAAAAATGACAAATACCAGAATTTATTAAAATACTAAATGCCACAATACCTTCCTTGGTACACTATGTTTGCAAATTTGTCACTGAGACCACTTCACTTGTGTAGCGTATTTAATCTAGCGCCACAATAAATTTGTAATACGGCACCGCAATCCGAAGAAGCAATGGAATTTTTTTTTTAAAAATGTCTTCCAAAAGCAAAGAGTACTGAGCTGCTATGTAAATATCAGTCCTTCTGTACGGCAGTGAATGCCAGGCAATCTCCTCACAGATGAATTGAAACCTGGAAACAAGAGAGTTGTGGTTCTACAGAAGGATGCTGTGAATGTCTTAAGGAAAATGGAGAGAAAAGGATACATACTCAGAATAAAAAAGAGACGCATGAAATGTCTTGGACACATAAGAAAGAAGCTTGGATAATTTGACTCTCATGGGACACATCGAAAGAACAAGCGACAAGGCGTCTATTCAAACAAGGGTATCCTTAAAATATAACGTTTAGATTAATAAAAAATAATCTCGGATTAAATAAAGTAAAATTCATTAATTCCAGTTCTCGCTATGAATAGCAAGTGAGAGGATAATAGTATTACTACTAATAATGATAATAGTGTAATGGTAAACGAGCTATATAGTCTGTAGCATGTGGTTCAGGTTAGGAAATTCCAATCGAATTTAATGTTGATCAGGAACCTTGATCAAAGAAAAGTACTGTAGTATATTTTGTCCTAGTTGTCACTTTAGAAAGTCAAAACCCTAGTTGACCGGAGGGTTGGCCTAGAAGGTGAGTTCAAAAAGCTATCAAGGGCAGAATGGGACCTTGAAGGAGGATGAATCAGTCGAAGATATGAATCCAGTCGAACATTAAAAGAAAGATATGAATCCTGACCCCGATTAATTTGAAAATGAAAGAAGTGAATAAACAATTATTTTGCATCCTAAAATGTAAAATGCTTACCAGATATTCATTTACGTGCCATGATTTGAAATAGGCGATCATGTATCTTTCGATAAACTGAACGTTTTTTTTAGGTTGCCCTTTTCTTCTGTGGTAGAAAGAAAGTCTGTCTTTTGTTATCCATTGATTGGGGGAAGAAATACCTTTCCCAAAGGTATTAGCGGAAGTGAATCTTCTGATTCCTGGAATCGAACTTATTCTGATTCCTCAATCCACGCCGCTATCCATTACTCCCCAGGAAAATTAGAAAGATTCATACCTTTGTTATTAGCACGAAGTGAATGTAATGGATTTGACTGAATTCGCGAATCTCTCGATTCCTCAATCCGAGCATTTTTGCATCCTCCGGAAAATTTAGTTTCATACCTTTCCCTTTAGGACGAAAAGGGAATGTAATATTCAGTTGATTCCTCAATCCAAGTCTGGTATCCATTACGTGATTCATACCCTAGTGGTATTAGCACGTAAGTCAAGTAGGATTCGACTGGAATTTGAACTCGGATGTATTCTTTCGATATCCATTAGTCTCCCCCGGGGAAAATCTAGAAGAGGATTCATACCTTTCCCAAGGTTATTGCACGTAAGTGAATGTAATTTTTTCGACTGGAATTCGAAAATCTCAGATTCCTCAATCCGAGCGCTATCCATTTCTCCCCCGAAAGGATTTACCTTTGAATATTAGCACGTAAGTGAATGTAGACCAGTTTCGAACTCGGCTCTCGATTCCCATCCAAGCCGCTGTCCTTGAAAATCTATGATTCATACCTTTCCCAAGGGTATTACATTGAATGTAATGGATTCGAAGGAATTCGAACTCGGGATTCCTCAATCAAGCCGCTATCCATTTACTGGGGAAAATCTAGAAGAGGATTCATAAAGGTTATTAGCACGTAAGTGAATGTAATGGATTCGACTGGAATTCGAACTCGGCTCTCCGATTCCTCAATCCACGCCGCTATCCATTACTCCCACTGTGTCTACCAGACATTACTATCATTATAAGTGAATTCGATCATCGTAAGTGTTCCATATGTGCACCCTTGTGCCAGACTTAAGTTGGTGCGTTTATGCTTTATGTGAATGATCGTTGGTGCAGCCCATGTATTGCAAAAGCAGTAATGAGAGCGTTTAAAAAAAGTTAGCCTGACGGAGCCCATCCCTCCTCGTGATAGTTTTTAATTCCGAGTACTTCTCCTAGATTTGTTGGCCACCATTTTGCTTTAATAGGAAACGGGATACGAATGTAAGTCTTGTAGGAGGTTATTATTTTCGACTGTTTGCTTTTATCGATCGTTGAATTTTTTAAGATATCAAAGAAAAACGAGTTAAAACAAAAAGATTGTTTTCTTTTTAATGAAATTCCATTGTAGTTGCGTTTGGGGATTCAGGAGACTGATTTATGAAATTAATGTTGTCTCCATCTCCGTTTCGAGAGGTAATAAAAAAAAAATTCTTTAATTTAAAGCCAGCTTTGTGGACAGTACATGACTCGCTTATTGTCAAAAAATTAATATTTTCTTTAAAAGAAAAAACAAAACAAAAAACAAACAAGTCGATTTGACGCAAATTGAATTTAACGTGATTTGATTTTTATGACAAAGAAATAGAAGAATGAATATAAGGACATAAAAAGAATGATTGATATTTTTAACAGACAATTAAAATTTGATTTTTAGGCCGGTTTCTCATCAGGAATGTGTCAAGCACAAGAGAGTGTCGATTGTTTAAAATGCTAAGAGCTGAAAAATGGAAGCTTTCTTAACACAGGCTGAAGTGAACAAGATTTATTTCTATACTTAACTCTGAACTGAAAAAAAATCGGGAAAATAAGACGACTTCATTTATCATCATCCACACCAGAGCTGTTTCGACTTAAAGTGTCGTTTCTCATCTTCGGTAACTTTCTAAAGAATTCTTATCAGTTCTCTACAAATCTCCTTGTCCTGGACCGACTCACGAAATTGCTGCAGGTCTTCCAAGCTCTTCAAAGATTTTGTGGGGTATGATGAAATTTTACTGATTGTACTCTTAATGTCGTTGTTTAATGAGTATAGAATGCTAATTCGAGTTATTCATTTCAATTAATATTGACTTCTATGTATTTTAAGATTTAGATGCACACATACACATACATACACACAAACATATATATATATATATATATATATATATATATATATATATATATAGATAGATAGATAGATAGATAGATATACTTCAACTTTAGTGTCCAAGATTTGAGATGGAAATCCTTCAGAATGGGTAGAAAATAGATGAAAGAATTGTTTTTTTTTTCCATGCGTCCTCCATGTTGACTGTATGTAATAAACAAAAGCATACACATACATTTATCGTTATCCATCTGATGAAGCCATATAGGCAAAATTCCTTATCGAATATTATTTTCGAAACATACTTTCGTGAACGTTTTTCCAACTGTCAATAATTTATAAATATGTCAGGAGTACATACCCAAATTTATTAAATACAGTCGACATGGAGAACGCATGGATAAAAAACAATTATTTCTACAAATTTTCTATCCATTCTAAAAGGATTTCCATTTCAAAATTCGGACACTTAAGGCGGAGAATATAAATATTAAACGATATATATATATATATATATATATATATATATATATATATATATATATATATATATATATATAATTATTTTATTTAAAATATGATTCCAACACGCTACGTAAGAGGTCTCATGTTTCAAAACAAGAGCCGAAAAACTTACATATAATTATTTGAATTAAATTGAATTAAAGTAAGTTCTGTTCCATCTTCAAGCGAAATTTTTTTTGAATCATATATATATATATATATATATATATATATATATATATACTTTTGAAATACATACTTTCGAAAAAAAATATACTTTAAAAAAAATATATATATATATATATATATATATATATATATATATATATATATATAACGCTATTGGATTCTACTTTGAGAAATAAGAATGTATTTAGCTCTACGCTGAAATGATGATCTCTCTTCCTGTTGTTACTTTCTAATCCAGGTTTCTTCTCTACTGTTTTCTCTTTTTGAAATTTATTCTCCGGTCTCTTGATGGTTCTTGAATGGACTTTCAAGATGGAAGACAGAGTTTGAATGTTGGTACCATTAATGAAGACCTGAACGATCTTTCACCTCTCACCATTGCTCACTTGGGAAGACATCTTAGGTCAGACACAAAATGATTTTAACTTGTTATTTTTCTAACTGAAAACTCAGAAGAGGTTTTTCATTCATTCTTACGACAAATTGTGTCAAGATGGCTAAACGTCTTATCTGATAACTTGTAAAAAAAGAAACTCAATTACTTTAGTGTTTTTTTTTTGTTTTTTAGATATTAAACATTTTGTGGGATAAATAATTATCTCATGTTCTTACACGATTTGGAGAATATTACTGGTATACCCGGCATCTATACACACACACACACACACACACACACACACACACACACACACATATATATATATATATATATATATATTTGGTTGGATAGATGTGAGTTTGTGACCCTGTTTCACGGCTTTAGCGATCGTCAGCCCAGGGTCACAAACTCACATCTATCCAACCAAATATGTTAGCTCTATCTCTGATATTGAGCGCTTTCTAATAAGTAATTTATATAATATATAAATAATTATACATATATATATTTATTTATATTTATATACACTTTTCACATATATATATATATATGTGTGTGTGTGTGTGTGCGCGCGCGCGCGTGTGTCTGTGTTTCCGTTTTCATTTTTGTGTGTCTCCAGATACGTGTATGTCTATGTACACGCCTGTTCCTTTGTCCGCCAGTAATTGTGTGTCTGCTTCTGTAAGTGTGTATATATTTGTATGTATGCAGGTCCATGCGCATGTGTATATCTGTGCATCTGTGCGCGTATGTCTCTGAGTCTGTGTTTCTGTGTCAATCAGTGAATTCCTTATGCATGAAAGTCTATAAGTGTATCAGGTTGTGTGTCCGCGTCTGCCTGTTCAGAAACGAATTATTGGAAGTCGAAAATATTTTGAATTGTTTTTTTTAAACTTTTATAAAAATAAATTTAAATTTGAAATTTGGAAATATTTAAATCAATCTTTGAATAAAAATCTCTAAATGAGAAAATTTAAATAATGAGTATTTAAATATTTTAAATAAATTTAAATTTTGAAATGTTTTGATAAACTGAATTTGAAAATTCTAAATAAATAAATTTAATTTCTGTCTGAGTTCCTTGGATGATAAGTTAATATTGTTGTTATTATAATAAAAACAAAGATGAAGATATTAGGTAGATAATAACAACAAAGATGAGGATCTTGTCCGACTGTAAATAAATTTAAATTTAGAAACGTTCATGCTAAATGAATTTTAATGACTTAAAGGAAAACATTTAAATTTGAAAACTTAAATAAATTGTATCTTTGAAATAATTTTAAATTTAGAAATAATCATGTCAACTGTATTTGAATATTTAAATAAATTTAAATTTAATTTTAAATTTGAAACTGAGAATGTTTAAAATAAATAACGTTGTTAACGTTAAATATTCGGTCCTTACTTTAAATTTGGAAAGTTTAAATATATTTGATATGAAACAAATAAATTTAAATTTAGAAATGTTTATGCAAATTAAATTTGAATCTTTAAAATAAATTTTAATTTATAAACTTTGAAATGGACTGGATTTGAATTTTTGAAATAAATAAAATATTTGTGCAAATTAGATTTGGATTTTTTTCAGTAAATTCAAATTTGTAAACTTTGAAATAAAAAGAATTTGAATATTTGAAATGAATAAAATATTTATGTGAATTAGATTTGAATATTTTAAATAAATAAAAATTTTGAAAAAAATTTGGATTTGAATCCTTCAGGTAAATAAATCCGAATCCTTGAAATAAATATATTTATGCAAATTAAATCTGAATTTTTTTAAGTAAATCAGAATTTGCAAAATTTGAAATAAATAGAATTTGAAATGAATAAAATATTCATGTCGCTTAGATTTGAATCATTTAAATAAATTTAAATTTTGATATTTTGAAATAAATTTAGATTTGAATGCTCCAGCTAAATAAATTTGAATCCTTGAAATTTATAAAATGTTTATGCAAATTAGATTCGAATCTTGTAAATAACGTTAATTAAATTTGGAAACGCTGAATTTGAACACTTGAAATAAATAAATTTAAATTTGAAAATGCTTAATTAAATCAGATTTTAACCTTACACCTGTAAAACAATTTTTAAATATCATTTTTGTCTTTCTAAAAATTCACAACACGAAACAAAGATCCTGAATAATACATGAATCAATAAATATGTCCAATTTTCGATAATTAATGAGAAAGTTAAAATTGAATAATTTAGATCTAAGGGAATGGTTAGAGAAATCGTTAAACATTGATTAATATAATTGCTGACATCATTGGTTGCTACATTACTCATTAGTCTTCATTATTTAATGAACTTCAGATGCCATTTCCATTGGCTTTTGTTCACTAGGGCGTTTCATACAGGGTTGTTGAGTTCATTATGTTAATTAGCTCTTCAACTTCTGAGAAGAATTGCCATTTCAAAATTCCTACTTACATGCTATCAAAACTATTTTCACTTCACTTCGCTTCTAGGTAGATAGATAGATAGATAGATAGATAGATAGATAGATAGATAGATAGATAAGGACAGACTGAAATAGATAGATAGATAGATAGATAGATAGATAAGGACAGACTGAAATAGATAGATAGATAGATAGATAGATAGATAGATAGATAGATAGATAGATAGACAGATAGATATGAACACTATAAGATAGGTAGATTCTAATATTCTGATCTTCTGATATTTCCGATGATGAAGTCTCATTCTGAAATGGCCAACCGTTTGGCGCCATGAAATCTTTGTGTCTTTTGTTTTAATTCGCTATCTTTGAGGATTACAAAGCATGGTTAATAAAGAAACGCAATCCATGTCAAGCGAATTAATAAAACGAGGACATGTTTTTCCTTTCAAAGTGAAATCCCCAAAACTGAGTTTATGCTCCACCCGTCCCCGAAGTATTCATCCTGCCCTATCAAACTAGATACGTTATTAAAAAACAACGATTTATGTTTGAAATCGCAAAACAAATACAAGTTTCGCAAAGATTTTAGCAGTGGTTTTCCGGTTCCTTCTAAAGTCTACTTCAACTCTATACTTCTAACGTCTCTACCTAAACTCGGAAATGTTATTTATTTTCTTCCTTCGGTAGGAGTAGATAGGTTTTTTGAATAGGAGTAGAGGTTTACCCCTTGTTTCCTGTTTAGGATTGGGTTTCCAGTTCCTTCTAAAGTTTACTTCAACTCTATACTTCTAACGTCTCAGCTTAAACTCTGAAATGTTATTTATTTATTTTCTTCCTTCAGTAGGAGTAGATAGGTTTTTTTAGAGGTTTATCCCTTGTTTCCTGTTTAGGATTGGGTTTCAGTTCCTTCTAAAGTCTACTTCAACTCTATACTTCTAACGTCTCCACCTAAACTCTGAAAAATTATTTATTTATTTTCTTCCTTCAGTAGGAGTAGATAGGTTTTTTAGAGGTTTATCCTTGTTTCCTGTTTAGGATTGGGTTTCCAGTTCCTTTAAAGTTTATTTCAACTCTATACTTCTAACGTCTCAGCTTAAACTCTGAAATGTAGAGTAGAGGTTTATCCCTTTTTTCCTGTTTAGGATTGGGTTTCAGTTCGTTCTAAAGTCTACTTCAACTCTATACTTCTAACGTCTCAGCTTAAACTCTGAAATGTTATTTATTTATTTTCTTCCTTCGGTAGGAATAGATAGGTTTTTTGAATAGGAGTAGAGGTTTATCCCTTGTTTCCCGTTTAGGATTGGGTTTCCGGTTCCTTCAAAAGTCTACTTCAACTCTATACTTCTAACGCCTCCAGCTAAACTCTGAAATGTTATTTATTTATTTTCTTCCTTCAGTAGGAGTAGATAGGTTTTTGAACAGGAGTAGAGGTTTATCCCTTGTTTCCAGATTAGGATTGGATTTCCGGTTCCTTCTAAAGTCTACTTCAACTCTATACTTCTAACGTCTCCACCTAAACTCTGAAATGTTATTTATTTATTTTCTCCCTTCAGTAGGAATAGATAGTTTGTTTTTTAATAGGAGTAGAGGTTTATCCCTTGTTTCCTGTTCAGGATTGGGTTTCCGGTTCCTTCTAAAGTCTACTTCAACTCTATACTTCTAACGTCTCCGCCTAAACTCTGAAATGTTATTTATTTATTTTCTTCCTTCAGTAGGAGTAGATAGGTTTTTTGAATAGGAGTAGAGGTTTATCCCTTGTTTCCTGTTTAGGATTGGGTTTCCGGTTCCTTCTAAAGTCTACTTCAACTCTATACTTCTAACGTCTCCGCCTAAACTCTGAAATGTTATTTATTTATTTTCTCCCTTCAGTAAGAGGAGATAGGTTTTTTGAATAGGAGTAGAGGTTTATCCCTTGTTTCCTGTTTAGGATTGGGTTTCGGTTCCTTTAAAGTCTACTTCAACTTATACTTCTAACGTTCCGCCTAAACTCTGAAAATGTTATTTATTTATTTTTCCCTTCAGTAAGAGGAGATAGGTTTTTTTGAATAGGAGAGAGGTTTATCCCTTGTTTCCTGTTTAGGATTGGGTTTCCCGGTTCCTTCTAAAGTCTACTTCAACTCTATACTTCTAACGTCTCCGCCTAAACTCTGAAATGTTATTTATTTATTTTTCTCCCTTCAGTAGGAATAGATAGGTTTTTTAATAGGAGTAGAGGTTTATCCCTTGTTTCCTGTTCAGGATTGGGTTTCGGTTCCTTCTAAAGTCTACTTCAACTCTATACTTCTAACGTCTCCGCTTAAACTCTGAAATGTTATTTATTTATTTTTTTCTTCCTTCAGTAGGAGTAGATATGTTTTTGAATAGGAGTAGAGGTTTATCCTTGTTTTCTGTTTAGGATTGGGTTTCCGGTTCCTTCTAAAGTCTACTTCAAATACTTCTAACGTCTCCCTTCCTAAACTCTGAAATGTTATTTATTTTTTCTCCCTTCAGTAAGATGGAGATAGGTTTTTTGAATAGGGTAGAGGTTTATCCCTTGTTTCCTGTTTAGGATTGGGTTTGGTTCCTTCTAAAGTCTACTTCAACTCTATACTTCTAACGTCTCCGCCTAAACTCTGAAATGTTATTTATTTATTTTCTCCCTTCAGTAGGAATAGATAGTTTGTTTTTAATGAGAGGTTTATCCTTGTTTCCTGTTCAGGATTGGGTTTCGGTTCCTTCTAAAAGTCTACTTCAACTCTAAACGTCTCCACTAAACTCTGAAAAATTTTTTCTTCCTTCAGTAGGAGTAGAAGGTTTTTTGTAGAGGTTTATCCTTGTTTCCTGTTTAGGATTGGGTTTCCGGTTCCTTAAAGTCACTTCAAACTTCTAACGTCTCCGCCTAAACTCTGAAATGTTATTTATTTATTTTCTTCCTTCGGTAGGAATAGAAAGGTTTTTGAATCTAGAGGTTTATCTTGGTTTCCTGTTTAGGATTGGGTTTGGTTCCTTCTAAAAAGTCTATTTCAACTCTATCTTCTAACGCCTCCACCTAAACTCTGAAATGTTATTTATTTTATTTTCTTCCTTCAGTAGGAGTGGATAGGTTTTTTGAACAGGAGTAGAGGTTTTTATCCTGTTTCCTGTTTAGGATTGGGTTTCGGTTCCTTCTAAAGTCTCTTCAACTCTATACTTCTAACGTCTCCTAAACTCTGAAATGTTGTTACTTCCTATGAATAGGTTTTTGAATAGGACTGAGGTTTACCCCTTGTTTCCTATTTGGGATTGGCCAGATAAGTTTACTTCAACTCTAACCTAACGTCTCTAAAACTCTGAAATGTTATTTATTTATTTTCTTCCTTGTAGGAAAAGATAGTTTGTTTTTTAAATAGAGGTTTATCCTTGTTTCTGTTTAGGATTGGGTTTCGGTTCCTTCTAAGTCTACTTCAACTCTATAAGTAACGTCTCGCCTAAAACTTGAAATGTTATTTATTTATTTTCTTCCTTCAGTAGCGAAAGGTTTTTGAACAGGAGTAAGGTTTTATCCTTGTTTCCTGTTTAGGATTGGGCGGGTTCCTTCTAAAGTCTACTTCAACTCTATACTTCTAACGTCTCCGCCTAAACTCTGAAAATTTATTTATTTTCTTCATTCAGTAGGAGTAGAATGTTTTTGAACAGGAGTAGAGGTTTTATTGTTTCCTGTTTAGGATTGGGTTTCGGTTCCTTCTAAAGTCTTCTATTAACGTCTCCGCCTAAACTCTGAAATGTTATTTATTTTTTTTTTCCTTCAGTAGGAGTAGATAGGTTTTTGAATAAGTAGGTTTATCCTTGTTTCCTGTTTAGGAAGTTCCTTCTAAAGTCTACTTCAACTCTATCCTTCTAACGTTCCGCCTAAACTCTGAAATGTTATTTATTTATTTTCTTCCGTAGGAATAGATAGTTTGTTTTTTAATAGGAGTAGAGGTTTATCCCTTGTTTCCTGTTTAGGATTGGGTTTCCGGTTCCTTCTAAAACTTCAACTCTATCTTTAACGTCTCCGCCTAAACTATGAAATGTTATTTATTTATTTTCTTCCCTTCAGTAGGAGTAGATAGGTTTTTTAGAGGTTTATCACTTGTTTCCTGTTTAGGATTGGGTTTCGGTTCCTTCTAAAGTCTACTTCAACTCTATACTTCTAACGTCTCCGCCCTAAACTCTGAAATGTTAATTTATTTTCTTCATTCAGTTAATATGTTTTTTGAAAGGTTTATCCCCTTGTTTCCATTTAGGAGTTTCCAGTTCCTTCTAAAGTCTACTTCAACTCTATACTTCTAACGTCTCCGCCTAAACTCTGAAATGTTATTTATTTATTTTCTTCCTTCAGTAGGAGTAATAGGTTTTTTGAATAAGTAGGTTTATCCCTTGTTTCCTGTTTAGGATTGGGTTTCGGTTCCTTCTAAAGTCTACTTCAACTCTATGCTTTAACGTCTCCGCCTAAACTCTGAAAATGTTATTTAAATTTTCTTCCTTCTGTAGGAGTAGACAAATGGAGGGAATCTTGTCTCCGTCTACTCCTATTCAAAAAGCCTATCTACTCCTACTGAGGGGAGAAAATTAAGAATAAGTTTAAGAGTTAAATAGAATTCGTCCTTTGGAAACTTGTATTTGTTTAGCGATTTCAAACAGAAATAGTTGGGTTTTTTTTAATGACGTATCTGTTCAGGGTTTAGACGTTCATGGCTCTCCACTGATCCATTTTCTATATTATCTTCTACTCCTATTCAAAAGACTGGGCATGTGTCTGAATTGGCCGATAGACAAACCTGTCTACTCCTATTCAAAAGACTGTGGATGTATCTTAATTGGCCGATAGACAAACCTGTCTACTCATATTGAGAAGAAAAATAAAATAAATAGAAAATAAAAAAGCATAAGACAATCACTCGATAAGTATCGAATTAAATTTCCCCGCGAAATGTGCTTATTGGCAGTTGGGTTTCTGTTCAATAAGCGAGGAAATGGCAATATTTGCATTTTTATTGAAATATTTGAATTTCATATTCTTTATCTGTGAATTTTATTACGAATTTCGAAAACTGTGATTCTAGAAAAAGATTTTCCTACGAAATCCTTTATCTTCTGTTCCATCAAATTCCAATCTTTTACGGCTGACACATTCTTTTAATATTAATTTTAATTTCGTCCAAATCCCTTATCTTACGTTTTAATTAACACAATTTAATTTACATCGACCGAAATATAGCTTGCTATGAAACTGAAAAGAAAAGTTTAGTTCGCAAGAAAAAAAAAGAAAGAAATAAAAATGGTTGAATATTTATTAATATTCCAGTATTTACAAACTGCGCAAATGGAGGGAACTCTTTAATCTCGGAGTTAAGAATAAATTAACGTTAAATAGAATTCGTCCGGCGCACAGGCTTAAGTTGCTTACGATAGCTACCATTACAAAATGGCTTTTATTTATTCATGTTATGTTATGTCCCTCCTGGAAAGTAGACGGTTATGGCCCTCCACAGATTACTTTTCTCTATTATGTGTGAATTGCTATGACTTCTAAGGAAAGATACTGGAATGATTTTTTTGTTTATTTCTCCACGGGTTAGAATTCAGTGGAATCCTCTTAGATTAGTTGTTACCTAAGGATTGAATGTCCAGTTGACCCTTCTGCGGATAAGGGAGAGACGGATTCATGCCTTCCTTTTTATCTAGATCTTCTTTTTGAATTCTTTTTTTTTCTTTTCTGTTTTTTTTCTTTTCTGTCTCTTTTCTGTCTGTCTTTCTTTCTCAGACATTTCCTTCCTTTACTCTTTCTTTCTTTCTTTCTTTCTTTCTTTCTTTCTTTCTTTCTTTCTTTCTTTCTTTCTTTCTCAGTTACCTCATCGCTCATTCTCTTCTCAGAGTCATTTCTTTCTGTCTTCATTTCTCTGTCAGTTTCTTTCTTTCATTCTTCCTTTCTTTTTTCTTTCTCAGTCACTTCCACTCTGTTTCTTTCCCATTATGTTTGTCTTTCTTTATTAGACCCTTCCTCCATTCATCGCTTTCTTTCTTTCTTTCTTTCTTTCTTTCCCATTATCTATCTATCTATCTATCTATCTATCTATCTATCTATCTATCTATCTGTTTTAGACTCTCTCTCTCTCTCTCTCTCTCTCTCTCTCTCAGATTCTTTCTTTCTTTTTTCTTCCATAGGTTCTTTCTTTTTTTTCTTTCTCAGTCAATTCCTTTCTTTTTTTTCTCTCACATTATTTTTGCCTTTCTTAGACTCTTTCTCTTTTCGTCTTTTTCACTCTTCCTGTCTCTTTCTGTCTTTCTTTATAACTTCTTGTTTTTCTTTCTCTCCCATTATCTATCTTTTTGTCTTTCTTTCTTTCTTTCTTTCTTTCTTTCTTTCTTACACTCTTTCTCAGTTTTTTTCTTTGTGTGTGTGTGTGTGTGTGTGTGTGTGTGTGTGTGTGTGTGCGTGCATGTTTACGTACGGGTATCCCTACCTATCATAAAAACAAATCTGCGATCATTGCGTCGTTAAATATTTTTAATCTCATGTCCCTTCCGGATGTAGGCGATCATGGCTCTCCACATGTTCCTTTTCATTATTATCTGCGATTTACCAATATTCCTTGGCTATAATAGTGGACTAATTTCACATTATCTGCTCCACAGTTTTGAATTTAAAGTTGTCCTTCTCCTAAACTGTCAGCCAAAACAAGAGATTCCAGTCTCCCCTGCTATTTAACCAACAGCTGGAGGCTAAAAAAAAATTTGGGGTGCGCATTGACATTTCCTTCTTTGTGAAATGACTATTTTAAATCTGAAGCCACCATATGACAGTTCGGCCTTTACTTTGGCCTCTCTTCGTCTCTTCCATTTGTCTTCTGGTCTTTTCGAAGGATGTTGCTTTTTCGCGGGCTGCTCTTCTTCAACTGGTTCATTCTGCGGCTTCAGTTTCCCAATTAATCAAATCTATAGTTCGATGAAGATCGTACTACATATATAAACAAAAACAAATAACTACATATATACATAGTTTTTTGGGGTTTTTTGAGGCTGTACTAGGATTAATCTCACAACAAAGCCGGTCGGGATCCTGTCTGACATAGAATCATACATAATGATTTGAAACAACATTTTACAATAACGGATGTTCTTCCTGTTGCCCAGCTCATTGTAATCTAATTACAACGACTGTTTTTTTTAAATGAAACACCATTTCTAGGGAGGTTGCCATTCAAGGCTTGAGTCCCCAGCTTAGCATCACTCCTTGCTAGTAATCTACAAGTCAAGATTGCTGACTATTGCACAACGAGGAGACATCCATACAATTATCCAATGATTAGTTTTGTCACAAGACCACCTGGTGAGTATCAACTTCATTTCTAATGATCCATAGTATATAAAAAAGGTAATTAACTTGAGAACAATTAAAAACTAATTAATGTGATGTTAAAAGGAATGTGTGGAATGATGAAAATACCACATCGCTGAATCAAGGACAAAATCGAACAGTACAACGATAAAAGCAAAACAAGAAAAAGCAGAATGAAGAAGGAAATTGCTTCGAGATCTTTTGAATGTGCCCCAATTTAAATGGCCGTCAGTCTAGAATTGGTCAGCTGATTCAAAAAAGAAAAGATGCACGAAAATAATTACATTCATGGGAATTTTTAAACTATTAACTAACATCATTACGTTGAAATGCCACTTATCTTCCGATCAACAAAGTTAAGCAACGTCAAGCCTGGTCAGTACCTAGATGGGTTACCGGATGGGAATACAAGCTGCTGTTATCTTGGATTTGTCAGTGGTGCAATGGGCTTACGGTAATAGCACCTTGAGATATCACTTCTTTTCCGATCACCGAAGTTAAGCAACGTCAAGCCTGGTCAATACCTAGATGGGTTACCAGATGGGAATACCAGGTGCTGCTATCTTGGATTTGTCAGTGGTGCAATGGGCTTACGGTAATAGCACCTTGAAATATCACTTCTTTTCCGATCACCGAAGTTAAGCAACGTCAAGCCTGGTCAATACCTAGATGGGTTACCAGATGGGAATACCAGGTGCTGCTATCTTGGATGTGCGCGGTGGTGCAATGGGCTTACGGCAATAGCACGTGGAAATACCACTTATCTTCCGATCACCGAAGTTAAGCAATGTCAAGCCTTGTCAGTACCTAGATGGGATACCGGATGGGAATACCAGGTGCTGTTATCTTGGATGTGCGGGGTGGTGCAATGGCCTTATGGTAATAGCACCTTAAAATACCACTTCTCTTCCGATCACCGAAGTTAAGCAATATCAAGCCTGGTCAGTACCTAGATGGGATACCGGACGGGAAACAAGTTTCGACAGCATTTGGCATTTTATTTATTGACTATCTTCAAAGGGGTCACACCATCAATGGAGAGGGCCACGTCAACTCGCAAATTCGCCCAGGAAAACTTACGAAAGGAGTCTTGTTTTATCAGGAAAATTCTCCAGCGCACAAGTTCTTGGTTTCAATGGCTGCTGTGCGTGACTTTCACTTTCCCTATTCTCCTCTGACTATCATCTGTTCTCCAACATGAAAAGAAAATGGCTGGGAACTTGTATCGCAATGATGATGACGTATTATCTGCTGTTGATGACTTCTTTGACAAACAAGATGAACAGTCTTCTCTGAACAGTTAGATGTTAGTTTACCTGAAATGAAACAATACAGTTCTTAATAAGAAGAGTTGAAATTAATGCATGCAAGATTTCATAGTTCTAGCATCACTCCTTCATAGTCAACCTATGAACTTTTCAGCCTGCCCTCGTAGAGAACTGTATATTACGGTTTAGAAAGGACTTTTCTTCTTAGTTTAGTTTTTCTTTTTCCCCTTTATTTTCTATTCTTTTATTCACCTGGCAGGCTTTGTGTTGATTTTACCAATGATCTGGCTAGATAGATAATGAACCGCTTGAGATAGATAGATAGATAGATAGATAGATAGATAGATAGATAGATAGATAGATAGATAGATATTAACATATTAAGATAGATAGATAGATAGATAGATAGATAGATAGATAGATAGATAGATAGATAGAAAGAGAGAGAGAAAGAAACAGACTGAGATAGATAATGAATATTTGAATAGAATAGATATTGAGATAGATAGATAGATATTAGATAGATAGATAGATAGATAGATAGAAAGAAAGAAAGAAAGAAAAGAAGATAGATAATGAACCGCTTGAGATAGATAGATAGATAGATAGATAGATAGATAGATAGATAGATATTAACATATTAAGATAGATAGATAGATAGATAGATAGATAGATAGAAAAGATAGAAAGATAGATAGATAATAGATAGATAGATAGATATTAACATAGATAGATAGATAGATAGATAGATAGATAGATAGATAGAAAGAAAGAAAGAAAGAAAGAAAGAAAGAAACAGATTGAGATAGATAATGAACCGCTTGAGATAGATAGATAGATAGATAGATATGAAAGAATTAAGATAGATAGATGAGATAGATAGATAATGAAGCAAAGAAAGAAACAGACTGAGATGTAGATAGATAGATAGATAGATAGATAGATAGATAGATAGATAGATAGATAGAATAGATAGATAGATAATAACAAGATAGATAGATAGATAGATAGATAGATAAACAAGATAGATGAGATAAATAGATAGAGATAGAGAAACAGACTGAGATAGATAGATAATGAACGGCTTGAGATAGATAGATAGATAGATAGATAGATAGATAGATAGATAGATAGATAGATAGATAGATACTTTATTTGGTACTCATGGCGTTTATAGAGTGAAAATCCATGCATTATATATGGGCCTAATCTATATCGATTAAAAGTTCATCAACTCAGTTAATCAGAGGCAATTGACTCATTGCCTTTTTGTCATTTCATTTTTCGACTTTGGATTAAGAGATTTCATGAAATTATTTGTTAAGAAGAAGTCAGCATGAATTCGAGTTCGTCTCATGAAAGAATGCTTCATTGAAATGAATTGTTAACAATATTTTCTTTGGGCAAGCGTCGATTGTTGGGCAAAATGTCACAGTAAGAACGATGTTACTTCAAGGAAGCAGAAAAAGGTCAAAATTCTGTCTTACAAGCTAAGAGAATTCTGTGATTCCCTGCAAGACTTGTTCATTTCATGAGAAACGCAAAACAAAAAAAAAATCAGAAACTGACTAAAGGAAGATTTTTATTCCTGTTATATACAAACCAAGAATTGATATTTTTTTTTCTTGGAACGATTATGCTTGAAAGAATACTTTCATAGACTATCATACCGTCTTCTCCAAATATGTTGGTGTGGAATGATCAGCCATTGTCAAATGCAAAATAAATCAAAAGTATTGACAAGTTTGCAATAAGCAATAACAAGACAAAGAAAAGAAAGGAACAGGGCGAAAAGAATATAAAGCAAGCAAACAATATATGCAAGACAAATCAACAGTAATATAGCAAAACGTTCACAAACTATAAGCTTTGATACACAAAAGCAAGCGAATCTAGCTTTCTGACTTCAAGACAAGACAGATCGGGACTGAGTCAGGCGAAACTGCAAACCGGCGTATTTTATATGCTAGGAAAAAATCCTAGCATTCATTTGTGTGCTTGTGCCTATAAAAGTGGAGGTGTCAATGTTTTGCAGTCTTTCTTACACAGTTTGAAACCAACAGAGTTGACTGGAATCTCACGTTTTCTTTTTAATTATTAAAAATACATTTAAAATACAGCCATGACATGCAAGACTTGTAATATCGACTAACTTTCCTTTTCAGAGTTGGAGAGAAGGCACATAAAACATTTATATAGTTTAAAGAAACACATTTCGTAAAGATTTTTTTTCCTTTACCTTCAGTAAAGTCTTCTCATTCTCTTCTACTCATTGCATCTTAGTAGCGTTATCGCCTTCTTTGGGATGAAATAATTAAAAAGTGTCAGATTCCAGTCAACTCTGCTATTTAAACAGCAATTCTCGGTTATAAGTTCAAAAATATCCTGATCACTTCTGCGAAGCGTTTGTTTTAACTTCGTTATGGAACAAGTCGTACTTATGGACCAACTAGTAAGAACTGAATTCACTACAGGCTTAATAGTCTACGAGAATAGCGACTATAACATTTGTAGTGTCATACCAGGAAAGAATGTTTCACTCAATATCACACCAAACTATCATCGTAGCCAGGTTTTGCAAGCGTGGGAACTACAGGACAGAGATAGTTATATAAGCAAGTACCCTCGAGGGTAATTGAAGTCTATATCGTAAATCGCAGACGTGTATATAAGGTCCATGTTTCGAACAATGGACTGCGGGATACACATAGAATCTCCGGTTCCTTCTAAAGTCTACTTCAACTCGATACTTCTAACGTCTCCGCCTAAACTCTGAAATGCCATTTTTTTTTTATTTTCTACCTTCCCTAGGAGTAGGTAAGTTTTTTGAATAGGAGTAGAGGTTTATCCCTTGTTTCCTGTTTAGGATGGGTTTCCGGTTCTTCTAAAGTTCTAAACGTCTAAACTCTGAAATGTTAATTTTCTTCCTTCTAGGGGTTTTTGAATAGAGTAGACGTTTATCCCTTGTTCCTGTTTAGGATTGGGTTTCCGGTTCCTTCTAAAGTCTACTTCAACTCTATACTTCTAACGTCTCCACCTAAACACTGAAATGTTATTTATTTATTTTTTTCCTTCTGTAGGAGTAGACAGATTTTTTTGAATAGGGGTAGAGGTTTATCCCTTATTTCCTGTTTAGGGTTGGGTTTCCATTTCCTTTAAAAGTCTACTGCAACTATGTACTCCTTACGTCTCCCCCTAAATTCAGTACTTTTATTTACTATTTTCTTCTTAATAGGAGTGGATAGGTTTTCATACCGCCCGGTTCACACTTCTTTCCAGTCTTTTGAACAGGAATTCAGGTTTAATCCTTGTTTCCTTTTTAGGATTGGGTTTCTGTGTCCTTCTGAAATCTCTTTCCTCCAATTAGCCCCTTTTCCTTATGGTAGCATTATCGCCTTGCTTGTGGTGAATTTATTAAAACAATTATCTTATGGTCTGCACCTGTACATCATTAAAAGCTGCTCTACGGCGAGACAGTCGGGGGTGTATTTTTAGTCTTTAGAATGACATAATCTAACCTAGCTCTTTAGTTAAAATTAAATCGTAAATATACACCGGGAACAGGACTTTGAAGCCGACAAGTAAATGATTCAAGTCATTTTTTTTGATCGATTCAATGAAGATCGGACTGAGAAGTCTGGAGACTTTGTTCTCTTTGTTTCGTATATGCAAGAAACTTGGCGCAGAAATTATACTGTAACACATCCAATAAATAGCGTAGATTGTTTCAGAGAAGGTCAAATTTAGAATGATTAATGAAAGGCAGTTGTTCTAATTACAAGTACACAATTGTATTGACATTATTTTCATGAATAAGTTTTCATATGCATAAAACACCTGCACATAAACGCAAATACATAAGCAAGCACACTCACACAATATTTATAAACTACACAATCTTCCCTTCCCTTTCTTTGTCTCTTAAGAATTATTTTAAAATAATTCAGCCGATTTTATTTTATTTATGGCAACTGTGTTTTGGCGATTGCCTTACTCGATTCCTGTCGTTCGATACTGTGCGCCCGAAAAATGGCACCTTATGGCGGTCGCCATAGCTACTCGGCCTTTTGGCTCGAGAGCTTCAAATAATTTTAAGCCCTTCCCCCTAGGTAGTACCTTTCTTTCGGGAAGAAAAGGAGTTTATTGCTCGGGGCCTGAGGCGTCTCCAAAAGGGATGTGCCGAGGGGGCTTGGACAACTTTTCCACGGTATTGTTAAACTCACTTTAAACCTCAACGTAGGCGCGCTGCAAAATAAACGTTTCTGGGCCTTTTGGCTAAGATCAAAGTGTAGTGTCTGCTCTCTACTTAATCTAATTCTCTTTCTCTCTTTCTTTCTCTCTCTCTCTCTTTCACTCTCTCTCTACTCCTATCTCCCATTTTTTCTTCAGTAAAATGGAATGAATTTCCATTTTACTGAAGCAGACGTTAAACAGATGAGAGCGTTATCATCACCTCTATCTCCCCTTTCTTTTTTTCTTTCTTCCTTTTCTTTCATTCTTTCTTGCTTTCTTTCTTTCTTTCTGTTGTAGAGTAGTTTTCACAGTGGAGGCTTGTATTTCACTAAGTCGGTCCTAAAAGGGTCCGACGTACAAAACGTTAGGAACTTGAAATAAGAGTTAATGACGCAGCAATCTAGTTGTGATGGTTGATACTTCAATGTCCGACATCAACTGACTCACTCAACTCCACTGAGCCCAACTGGCGACCGCTACTACTACTACTACTTATCATGTGTGGGAGAGTATATTAATGATAGAATAGGTACGTTCAGGTATAACACTTTCTTATAACGTACGCTTCTTTTATCATACTAAAAACAAATATTTCTTCTTTCGTCTCTCCTGGCGTCCAAATCGGAATGGTCCATTATTTGATTGACGAAGTGGTAACGCCAGTGGATAACCAAGTTAATAATATACTAACCGAAGAGCAATCAAAATGAATGTTATGTCGAAAAGTGATCTTTGGTGCCCGCCCTATAGGACACAAAAGGCGGGAAAATATGTTATATATATATATATATATATATATATATATATATATATATGTTAAGTATGTATGTATACATACGCATATGTATATAGGTGTATATATGTGTATGTGTATATGTATGTATATATGTATGTATGTGTATATGCATAATTAGATGAATAGATAGATACTTTGTATATTTGTTTAGATGACTGTGTGTATGTAAATGTATGGAGGTGTGTAAGGTTTTTATGTATATATGTTTATGTGCACTTATGTGTATGCGTGTAGATGTATATATACACAGGTTTGTATGTGTATATATATATATGTGTGTGTGTGTATGTACACGTATATGTATGTATGTACGTGTAAATATAAATATGTTGTTGTGTATGTGTGTATATACGTATGTGTTTTGGGGCATAGAAATAGTAGGTCCTTGCTAGCTTAAATATTCGTTATTTTTTATATATTTATATTAAATTTGTAACCTGTAGTTGATATTACTTTTGTCAAATTTTCTTGATTGCACAGCGGCACTTTTATAAATGCCCTTCGATTTTAGGTCCCCCCTCCATCTTCCCCCTTTTTGCTTTTCTTCTCTCTCTCTCTCATCTTCTGATTTTTAAGTTTAGATTATATCGTCTCTTATTGTCCGTAGTGACACCACAAATGTATACACCCATTTCCGGGGTCGGTTTTTAATTTAATTTAGGTCAGCGATTCAGTAATGAATTATGCATCGGAAAATAATTCGTATTTATCTGTATCTCACTCATTTAAACTGTCATTTAACTCCTCTCTTCAAAACTTCTCTCTGTAAAATATTAACCCCACCTTCACTTTTAGGCCTCCCTGTTCTTCTCTCGTCTGTTACCTCTCCCTAGAGATTACATTTACTTCTCAAATTCGTCCCCCACTCTCATGCATACACTCTCACTAAATTTTATTTTTTTTACCGGGGTTATTTTTTCTGATTTCTTTTTAAATTTGTAGGTCTGATGAATTGGATCGTAATTACGATTCCAGTGTAATAAATTATAACCTCGAAATATTAGTGTTTAAGCCTTTTTATCATATATATATATATATATTATGAAAAGTCCGACAGTTATTAAATATATTTTCTATGTATACTTTATATTTATAGATACAAATATTTAAGTATATTTAAGTAAATTCTCTGTTTATAATTTAAAAAAATATTAATAATATTTAC